TTTTATTTTTCTATATTGTAAAGCAGATTCAAATTTACATAGTTCAAAAACAGAAAAATAAAACTTTAAGTTTTTGGTAGACTTTTATTAGTAAGAAGTGTTAACTTCGTCAAAATACCCTCATTTACTTTATGCAGGAAACAGAAAAATGATTCATAAAATCGACAAATAAAATATATAACGAAGGAGTATTTAAATTGATAAAAATTTCGTCAAGTAACTCAGGCATGGTAGTAATTTTTGAAGCCATATTTTTAATTTTTGACGCTTGTAGATACTTTTTAAGCGTCTTTGATTGCTAGCGAAAGATATATAAATTCAAACTTCTGAAAAAAAAAAATGTAGATAACATTTAAAATCATTTTTTTTAAAAATAAATAAATAAATAAAAATTGTTTCAAGTTGACGGAAGGTTAACAGATCGAAAAGTTGGCTCTTAAATAATGGGTGCCCTAATTTCCCCCAAGTACGTACGTACCAGGAACGGATAGTCGATTAAATTTTTAAGCCATTTTTAATGGCTTAGCGGCTTAGCCAATAATTTATGTTATACTAAATCATAGGAGGTCTACAGTTGTATATTAAATAGCTACAGTATATATGTTGTGCCTCAGACTAACGCTTGCCTCGGATCACCTCTTGTGTAGATTGTTAGATGAGGTTCGTAACCTATCGATCGGTCATTATGCACAGAAAAAAAAAAAGTATAGAATAAAAAGTATTATTGATGTTGAACGTGCTGAGAAGACTTAAACAGGAAGAATATGCAGTGAAAATTTAGGCAGAAAAAAACTGTACGTATAGAAAAAAAAGTACATATTAATTGGAAATAGAATATGCACGAAAATTCGGGCAAAGAAATTTAAAGAAAAGAATTGAGGTGCTTTTAAAGAAAAGAATGGAGGTGCTGAAGAGGCTTAATGTAAAAAAATGCTACTGGAAAATGATTCAAGATATAGAATGTTACTGGAGTTAAACATAAGATTATTTGTCTGTTCATTATTTTGTTGATCTTGCCTTTTTGTTGATTCATTATTTCGATAGTTTAACTGCATCATTTCTTGAGGATCAATCTTTTTCAAGTAAAAAAAAAAAGGCAATTGAGCAAAAACCCTTCCAAAAAAAATTTAAAAGCTCGAAATAAAAAAATTTTCCCGGAAGGTTTTAGGTCGACAAATCATATGACTGCGCCCTTCGATTGTCGGTTGGTCATGCTGGTGCTTTTCTAACTTTAACCATCTCAATAAATTTAGTAATACAATAATATATTAACATTTTATCGAAACATGATAAATTACTGTAGTACACCCAGGTTTTACTTTGCAACGCTCATATAATGAAAAAGTACTACGACAATATGCTAGTCGTTTATTACTCTTCAAAAAAAAAGTTTTTATTGTACAAAAAATGATTTTTAAAATTACATACATTTTTGATTTAAGTTCAATATTATAAATCTAATGGATATAAATCTAATGGATATTTTGCAATTTATAATTAAATGTAATAGATTCTCTTCTATATTATATAACATGAGTTTCTTTAATACCTTGAAAATGACGAGCAATGTAATATATGAAAACATGGATACCTGTATAAGAAGTGTTTTTATTTTATTACAATACATATATAATTAGATTACCGTATATTTTTTTTTACTATATTTGCATATTTTACGAATTGCAGGTTTTGCCAAATTAAATAACATTTTAAATTTACAGATTTTGCCAAATTACCGAATTACCGAATTTGCCGAATTGATTTTTTCGATATGAATATTTATAAATTAAATATCGATGAATGTATTTGAATTTTGCAGTCCAGTTAAGGTTTTAATGATTAAAGGCATTTCAGGACGAATACGAGGATCTTTATTCCAACATTTCTTGTATAGTTCAACATAATGAAGGGGCGTGTTTTCCGCTGGGATTTCTCTAAATTCATCTAATATTTGCATGTTCCAAAAAATTTCGTGCGAAGTCAATAGTTTGAATGGTGGTTGGCCGCTCGATATCTCCCAAAGAATAACTCCAAGGCTGTAAATGTTGGATTTTTTATCATATTTAGAGTCTTTTAAACATCGGGGATCTATATACGCTGGGATGCCTTTAATTTCTGAGCATGACGGTGTTGAAACTTCATTAATTTGCCTCGACATACCAAAATCTGTAATCTTAATTTGCTTATTATAAACAAGGATGTTTTTGGAGTTCTACCAAAAAAAAATATGAATTGTTAATTTAACTAATTAAAATTATACGCAAATAAAATAGATATATGCTTACTAAGTCACCATGAACTATACTTTTAGTATGTAAAAACCAAAGTTGTGCTGTTTCCTCAGCCATACGAAATTTATCAATTGATTGTAGACTTTTAAAATTTTCTCTTAAATAACCCGTAAGTATTTATCAGCATATTGTAAAACCATAAAATAATGTTCTTTTGACGGATCTATTTTTAGTGGTAATTCATCGCCGAACTCAATTCAATCAACATTTCAAATTGATCTTTACCGATTTTGAAATTCACTTTTTGTCCAATTAAGCTTCTGTGGATAGGCGAGACTCTGAATTTCTCCTCTACATTGCAAATTATGAGTTTGACAAATACATAACAAACAAAAATAGCTGATAAAGACTTACTCCTCATAGTGATAAATTCGATCGTAATCATAATTCGTGAAATTGCTACCGAATTCAGCCTCTGACATAGGCAAACGTAAACGTTGTAGATTGTAAGCGCTATTCAAAATAAAATCATGATATCTTACAGCTATCAAAAAATAAACATGGATGCAAAAAAAAAAAAAAAATCACTACGTCTGAATAAGGCGCCGAATTGCATTCACTTTCATATTATCCTATAAACGATGATTATTAAAACCTGTACTTTCATAAATGGATATACGCACTTCAATTACACAACTTCCAATTTCGGCAATTAAATCGGAAGGTTTCTTCTCTAGTTTCTATCATAAGAAGTGTTATATTTTTAATTGATACGTTAAATTATAGACTATGCAAAGTGACGTTTTAACTTCTACGATTTTGTCCATCAACTCATAGAGAGGCTCCTCCTGTTCGACTTCCAAATCTCTTAAATAAACATTATTCCCAAAATCCTCTATTATTTTCTTCTATTCATCATCCGTGAACAAATTCTTCATCTCAACACCTTCTCCAGAAAGATCCAAATTCCAATCAGAAATGGATGACACCAAATAATCAAAGTATTATTTGTTTACATGATTCCATTTTATGGTATCTAGAAAATAAATTAATGTATTGATTTAATGAAATATATATACATATATAACTAAGTGGACTTTGATTTTATAGCAACTGGTCAGCAATCCTCATGGAGACGGTGACAATGAGAAGACATAAACCATGCCATCAAAGCAGCTATCCATGACTCATGCTGCCAAGCATCAGCCGAAAGGGGTCGCAAGTAGCGGTGGTGCACAAACGGGTGTAGGTGCTATAAAATCACAATATCTGGTCGACAATCCTCGTGGAGACGGTGACAATGAGAAGGCATAAAGCATGCCATCAAAGCAGCTATCCACGGCTCATGCCGCCAAACATCGGCCGAAAGGGGTCGCAAGTAGCGGTGGTGCACAAACGGGCGTAGGATATTGTTGGAAGTCCACAAGATCACAATAAATATTTACTCTCCTTAACTATGAACTGGCAGAAAATTGTCAATGTTGCAGGTTATCTATATCATCTGTGATTATGCATTATGTAGATCATTATTGAATCTATCACTTAGGGACAATACTTTTTATCACGTGAATAATTAACTATGGGTTGTTTTTTAAAAACGGAAAATGTTTTGGAGCAACAGCAAAAAATGTTTTTTATTGCGATATTAAATATTTTACTTAATTCTGATCAAAATGCAGCATTTGTAATGAATTCAATTCAAGACTTCGTTTATTGTTTTCTAAATTATTAATTAATTAGAAGCTACATGTATTTTTTGTGACAAGAATACCCGTTCTGATACTGCCGATCCGTCGTGCATTTTTAGATCAAAATTTTTTGTGCACGTGAAGTTACAAAATTTGTGGATTTTGTCGTTCAGCATAAGAAAGGCGTAATATTGTATACCCAATAAAAATTGTGATTTATTGTTTTCTAATCTTTTCGCAATTTTCTTAGGTCCCTGCTATGGAGCCCTGCCTTACTTTTTGACATGCAGATCCCGGTAAAAATAAAAAATTTAAAACCTTTGAGCGAAAATATCTCGACAGCTACCTGCTTGAACCTGATGAAACCTTTTCGATTTGAATTCTGTGGATTCATAGAATTCAAATAAAAAAAAAAAATTCATCGAATTTAGCCATGTGGTTGTCGAGATAGCTTCGCTCAAAATTAGAGAAAATCAAAACGCCTATCAAAATAATTGAACCTAGGGTGCCGCACAAAAAATGCGCGGCAGATCCTCGATTTTGATTGGCTAAGAGCGACGATCAAAAAAATTAGGCCGTAATTACTCATAATTTTACTAATGAAATCGCAGCTGCCCATTAAGTGAAAATTGTTCCTGGGTAATTTTACCATAATGCGGACTTATTTCTTAAAAATTTCTATTTTTGTAATGAAAAAATTAAAAAGTTAATTTTGGCCGGAAATTAGTAAACAATTA